GTTTTGTTACCTTCTGGGAAGAGGTTCCACTGTATCCGATGTAGAACAGCCAGATTGGGAAATAGCTTTGTCCCCCAGGCTATTAGATTTTTGAATGTCTAATATCAAATGTATAGAATGTATGTTTTATAGTAACTTAGGTATCTCAATTGTATTTTAGTGTATGACTGTAAGCCAGTTGCAACAGAATTTCATTTTATTATGCACTTGGTGTATAGTGTATAGTGGAATGACAATAAAGCTATTATTCTATTCTATTCTATCCTATTCTACTCTATTCTACTTCATGTATGTTAGAGCTTAGGTGACCTAAGGCTGGACTTGTCTATTACTTAAATAGACAAGGCTACTAGAAAATACAAGAACTGTAGACTAGGAAATATATTTTAAAAATCACATAAGAAGGCAATGGCAAACCATTTTTATTATTATGGAATAATAATAAAATAATTTTATTTATTATTATAAAATAATAAGAAAACTATAGGAATGTTTGAAAAAGATCATACTTCTACTAGAACCTAAGCTCTAAGTGGTACCACTTCAGAATATATAAGTGGAAGATCATATGGAATGAAAAGTATTCACATCCAACTCGGATTCAATGTCTGTCAGGGAGAAATCTAGGTAGAAGTATTTCCTTGACATTTATTTTCTATCACGGATGGAGCATTTTGTCATTTGAGCCTCCCTCTTCAATCTGAAGAGGCACCACTCAGATACAGGTTTATCACCTCAGTGATAACTAGGCCCAAGTTGTCCATTCAAGAGATTCTCCCACAATGCGCTTACAGAATCGAAGTGAAGTGTATTTACCCAATTAGCTAAGAGACTGCACTGCGTATTTGCTGACACAAGGCTCCATAACCATCTGCTTTTCTTTCTGTTTTTTCCTAGGAATCACTTAAGGAACTCAGTCCAGTGTGTGTGAATGTCACTGCTTGAAATGAAAATTGGCCAAGCTAACTGACTGTTATTTCCCAGACCAGCTGTCAGAATCAGCTCTACTTGGTAAAGAATTTCAGTTCTCTCTCTCTCTCTCTCTCTCTCTCTTTAGTTTATTGAAAGGGAAGGGAGGGAGGGAGGGAGGGAAGGAAACCCTATGAGTAGTAAGTTATTTACTTTCCATAATACAGAAGCTCACATGCAATTCCAAATTATTACAAAAACTATTAGTATTACGTTCAACATGAATTATGCAAAGCATTACATTTTATGCAAATGTACTTACTTTCCCAAACTGACACAACATCTGTGTTTTATTATGGAACTACTTTTGTTTTGGGGTTTATTATTATTATTATTTTATTATTCATTATGTGGAATTTATACGGCAAACTGTAACATGTTGGAAAGAACACTGCAAAGCACAGAGGAAGGATAGTTTTAGTGTATCAAATAAGAAGCATTCAGGAATGATAGTAACTATTTATCAGGTTATGATCTAACCAGAAACCATTGGAAATCTTTGCACACACACAAAAGAAGGATGAGAATATGCTTGCTTTGAATAAAAGAAAGCTTATTCTCTCTAGAGTAAAAACCTTATGCTCGAGCTGGAGTGCATAGGCACGAAACAAAAATTCCAGTGCCGGTAATGGTCTAAGTATTCTGATGCAACTAAATCACTTTCGAACAAAACTCTAACTGAAACACAGGAAGGGTGCCAATAATCATAATTGTAAATCAGATTACATCACCTTGCTAACTGTCAAGATAAAAATGCAAATAGTGGAAACCCATTTCTTGGGACAAAATATTGTGCAACATAAGCATTATCCAACAGGTAATTTGAAAAGATTAGCCCTTTTGTCCCATGGGGAGGATGAACCCTAACACAGCATTACAAGGGTCTTCGTACATTGAAATGAATGGGTTGATGCAGAAACATTTCCATGTTGGATGTTGGCGTGCACTTTTACAGCGTTTGTGAGACTCTTTAGATAGCTGGATTGGTCAGAAGAAACGTTAAGTGAATCCCTGACTAAACATTGCAGTACCCATTACTTTTACATTCACAGCAAAATGGAAAACTATAGGGGGAAAAATAGCTTTGCAAAACCTACTCCATGGATGACATTTTGCAAACAACATGACAGCAGCCCCCCGAGAGGTTTCTTGAGCAAACCCCGCTGAAATGAATGAGCATGTCATGCTGGTCCCCTTAATTCCACTGGAATGTTTAAACAATGCCCCAGGGGGGCTTTTTACTACAGAGCAAAGAAGAGTTGTAAGTTCCACCCAGTCGGAACCTATGACACACATTCAGACTGTGACAGAGGCAGACAGCAGACATATTGATATAGAAACACATTTTCGCAGCAAGGGATGATTGCAGTTAGAATGTGGGAGAAATGGAGAAAGCAGGTTTTTGCCTTAAGAGAAGGAATGGTAAGCCTGCAAAGAAAATATCCATTTACTGGGATGGCGGAGGGGGAAAAAAAACAGAAAGGTCCTGTGGAAGAGATTAAGGCATTGTTTTTATTTTTATTCAGTCCAAAAACCTGTAGGGATATTCCTTTGCATTTATTACCAAATATACACGCCAGTTGCAGAAAGGCAGCAGATCTAGACAGGCAAATGACCTAGCACAACTGAATAGGCGCAGCCCGCAGCATCTGCAGCTGGTCAAAATAGTTGCCATGGCAGCATGATCAAAACCCCACCCCTTCAGGGTGCCATCTTGACTTTTTTGATCCCCAACCCACCTATGGATGCAAGTACCAAAGTTAAGCACCTTCTTTTTAAATGAAACTGGGCACATGTTCACTTTACTTTGTCAGCATGTGACCCCAAGTCTACTAAAATGGATTGTCCCTTTTACCTAAAATATGCTGTATCAGAGTTAAACAGTTAACCCAACATGCTTAACCTGGTTTAACCTTTTTCTGGGTTCACACAGCACATTGAACCATAAAGCAATCAAACTGGCTGAGTTTACATAACATATTATGGTATTTAAAAAAGACATAATCAAGGAATGAACATTAACAAAGTTATGCAGCCACTGGGTCTGAAACTGGTTAAGTCTGTTGTGTGTGATACAAAAGCAGTCCTAAGCCTCTTTTCACAAAAGAATCTCTCAAAAAACCTGCCTCCTCTTGCCCATCACACTGCCAAATTTCTCAACGAAGCACAGAAATTCAGTAGTGCAATTTCTCACATTTTTTTTCAGAAAACAGAACTGTAACCCCTTTTAAAAACACACCAAGTAAAAAAAACATAAATTTTTCAACTCCCTCCTGATGAACTTATTGTATCCCCTCTACTCTCCCTGAAACCCTCTTACATTTTTTTATTTTGTTTATATTTGTAATGGAGTGGCCAGATCCAAATAAATGCTTTTTCCTATCCTAGATGATGATTTGCAAATGGATCAAATCTTTGCTTCCCTATGTCCTTGAATATCCCAACAGTTTTTAATCTCCCTGGAAAACTATGCTAAGGGAAGGGGTTCGAAATATAAATTATGGCGAATAAGGTAACCATCATTGTAGATATACAGCTTCCGATCAATAGGGCTGTAGTTGATGCTCTGAATGGTCTCCAGCATTTTATCTACAGTGATGCTTATTGTCCTTTCTCTTCCAGTGTTGGTGTCAAAAGTGTAGAAGATTTCTTCCTTCCTAGTGTTGACAGGCCTTGTAGCATAGAGCACTCCACATACAATAAAAGCATTGGAGACCGAAGGCCTGTATTGCTTTGTTTCCCATGTGTTCAGCACATCAAGAGATGTTTCATTAAGTCTGCTAATGACAATGTTACCTCGGCTGGCTTCTGTTGAGTAAATAACCCACAACCCACTCTCATCTACAGCAAAATCCATGTCTTGCCAAGATACCCCTGCATATGAAAACCGATCGTTGTAAACAGCATTTGGAAGCGATTTGCTCAGCTCCACCGTATTGGTGCTTAAATTTAACTTAGCCATATTTCTGGAGGAATGTGCATTGTAATACATATAATTATTATGAACAACTGTGCCGCTGCCTTGACCATACTGAATTCGGTATTCCTTGGCAGCTTTGAAGAGCAATAAATCATCATAGGAATTGTGGAGTCGATAATATTCCAGGTATCTTCCATCAGTATTCAGAGGTGCAACCCAGTAAAGTTCATTTCCAGGGTTAAGGGGAGATGAATATCTGCCCCATGCTCCATATTTGTAAGAAAATCCTCTCCAGTTGAGCTGGATCATGTAAGGCTGGCTGATGTTCATAATTGGGCCATGACCGCAGTTCCCTATAATCAAGAAAAAGCAGAATGTTTAAACATGGGAGGTATTCAGAGATTACAAATAACTCAGGCAGGGAATAGATTCACGTCTCCAGAATATCTGACACTCACTAAGCTTCTGTTCAGTCTTGTGCCCTCTGTTACCATTCCTCTCCAACCATTTACCATCACTTCCCTGGCTGTGATTTCCCCTGTCAGACTTACATGATCTTAAAAAAAAAAAAAAAATCCTGTGTATCTTGGAATTTTTTCAGGCACACAAAGACAATAGTGGGCAGGTCAGTGATATATATTAGATGATGATGGTTGCTTTGCCCCGTCCTTTGGTTTGGGGGATTCTGAGAAGTTCTTTGTTTTTCTAAACTCTATAAAGACTGTTGTAGAACTTACATCTGCTTTCATGTGTTTCCCTGCCTAAAGAAAAATGTTGCCACTAATTCTAGCAGAAGAAGCTTTATGGGCCTTTAAAAGGATGTGAAGACCGCATGCAGCCTGGGGCCCCAAAATATCTATCTATGAATTATCTTATCTATTGATCTGTTAGTTTGTAATAGATCTAGAGAAAAGCTATTCCAAGATGATGTTCTTAATAAATTAATAATTCTAAGCAAAACTGATGAGAAGTGTCAAGCTCAGAAAGGAAATCAGCATTGTGGAATTTTGATTCTACTGTCTAGTATCCAAGAAATTAGCTAATAATTTGTTCAGGAAGGGATTTCCTGATGCAGGCCAAATATCAAACAATATCAAACAACTTTGTCTTAAAATTAGTGTTGTAATTTTTGAAGAGTTCATTATTTTGAGAATTTGAGCCCTGCCTTTCTAGTAAATGATCATGGCTAGCCAACTTGTGCTGATCGAACCTGATTATCTAAATGAAAAATTACAATTAAAAAATGCCAGAAAAAGACAAAGGCAAACTACATGTGTATCTGTCTTTCTGGCAAGAAAATTTCAAAGACGTGTTCATGTAGCTACTAGGAATCAAGCTCAACTCATGGGAGATGTCATCTCAGGGCAATTTTTTTTTCTTATGCTGTCCATATTTTCTACCAGATCAAAGTACTTGTAAATCAAGCCTACTACCCAATCTTAGGCAGCAACAAACTCAACTTGAGATCAACTTTAAAATGAAGCTTTGTAGACCAGACCTCATGACTTTTTATAAAGTGGTCTGCTACCAAATCTTTTGGCCAAAATAGTTAGCAGTCCCTGCATTGATGTTTTTTCCTTCTAGGATGACTACTGAAGGATGGCAAGAATCCTCTTAGATCTAGATAGCAAAAGGGCTAGCAATTGCTGATCCAAATTTCAGCCCAATAATGCATTCACAACTGGTACTAGGCCTCCTATTTGCTTCTTAGGGTCTTAGAGAGAAATATATTTGTAACCCTGTTACCCAAGATTCTTCAAGTCAAAATGCCAGTCTCTGAGCAAGTAGATTCTCAGATTTGTCATCTGTGCACAATTCTTCTCCTTTCCAATCCTTCCCTAATACCAAGGAGAAGGCTGAATGGCTGTTCTCTGTCAGCAATCAGAAGGTATCATTAAGCATATTAAATACTTAAACCGGACTTTGAACCATCTGTGCAGCAAAGGAAGCCAAAACACTGGATGTAGATCCAACTGTTAAAATGAACCCAGGTATGATGCTGGCAATGGGCAGGTGTGTGGCAATGGTCTCTCATGTCTTGTCTCAATTTTTGGGCATATGTCCAATGCATCTGATCTGGCATTATAATGCCAGCCAAAAAGAGCAGCTCTGCAATTGATTTTCCTCCTGGAATTACAGGAAGAACCATGGAATGGTCTGATTTGTACATCAAATGGATCAGTACATTACTGGCCTTTGATGGTTTTAGGGAGTATCATGCCTAAAACTGTCAATTTGTATCTCTGAGGCTTCCCAGTTGGAGGTTCTATTACAGTTAAGAAATAGACTTGAAGTATCTTTTTACATTGATCAGAATTCACCTTTGGGAATGATGGAAGTCAAATGCATACTCCCAGTCGAGTGCTTTTATAACAACCAATTGAACTGTGATTCATGCCATTCAACGCTCTCTACAGTTGGCATGCACTACTCTGTGTAGCAGGTGAGGAAACCAAGAGAGAATTGATATGTAAAAGACATCCATGAATTATAAAGGAATTAGCTCTAGGCTCTTTTTCAGTTTCAGTAAGTATCAGTTCCCTGCAATTTTTGTAACAGATATTTATCTCAGTTTATAGGTTGAAAACCAAACATGAATGCCAAATTCAGAAAAATCTGCATAAGGATTTAATATCTACTGGTGAATTTTGATTTGTTGTTTCAGATAATTACAATTAATGCATTTGTTTTCTGCTATACTACATTTTAGAGAAATAATCCTATTACATTTTCTATGTAGGCTTTCATTTAGGAAGGTTTTTGTCTTTTTTTTTTTTAGAAAAAAGATCATGGCAGGTCTCTGCACTTAGAAAAGGAAAGAAGATATATAAGGATAATCTAAAGCAAAAGTGTCCATCCAAACTTACTGATTAATTTTAACTTTTAATGTGAAAGAAGGGATAAATTATATAAATGCAATCCTAATTCTTACCTCCCCCCTTCCCTTTATTCTAGATCCACCTACTCTTTTGAAGGGCTGTCCCCAACACGTTATTTGAAGACGAGCTACCAAACTCCGTTCAGAAAAGGTTGTGGAGCATTCATCTAAAAGTATGGCAATGATTCAAAGGGGGAATCAAATGACACCTATCCTTTAAGTCACAAATATCTACTTTTTTCTTCAACAAGTTCCATGTTCAAGATCCACTACACAGGAAGTGTACAAGAATGCTCCATTTTAAAAAAAAAATCCACTAATAGGTAGGAATCTCATCTTTAGATCTCTTGGTATTATGATCCTGATCGGAATTACCCCTCGCCCTTTGATTCATTCATTGAGGAAACAAATGGGGCATAGCTCTAGGCTTTATATTATGTTTTAAAAACATTTTAAATGTTTACAAAAATTGTTCTTGGGTCCACAGAATTTGCTCTATGTGGAGAAATTATTTTTGAAATGAATGGTGATATCATTTTAGATTACAGTTGGGGCAACCTTGTCCATGTTATAACAATTTATTGCAAATTTAGGGTTGGTGTACTTAAACAATTCCCTTGTACAGGATGACAGGAAGGAAGGAGGAAAATCATAGTTAATACGGGAACCTCCACCTGCATTTTTAAATTGTGCAATCCAGCTACACAATAGAGAACTGATACACACACACAAAATCCTTGATGTTCAATCATCCGTATAGCTCTGTCAAACAGACCAAAATGTTCAGATTCCTATAATACTAATAATAACCTAAAAGAACTAAGGTCACCTAGTAAATTCATAGGTGAGAGAGTTGAACAGGGATCTTCCAAACTCACACTCTTCACACACTGAATCACTATGTAATCAACATTAGCTTTTGGCATACATACTTTCTGAATATACCTCCATCAGCACAATAAAAAAGCCAATACAGATTACAGTCATTTTATGAGCCAGGTTTATGGCTAAATGCCTTGCAGCTTACCAGCTTTTAAATCAATAGCAGCCTTTTAGACAGCTGAGATGTAAGGTAATATTGCCACTGTAATTTATAGTTTGTCCTTAACTGTCAACACATTGACTGAATTAATATTCCTAAATCAGTAACGTTCTTTTCAAATTAAATGCTTATTAATGACTTGCATAAATCTGAAAATATACTTAAAAAGAAACACCTGTACCAAGCTGTGAAGGTAAAAAGAAAGTGTCACAGCCAGTGACATAGATTTAGCCTGACATAATTTTTCATGTCACTAAACTAAGCACTGATCTAGCTTCAATTTAATAATTCATGCATTGTTTCATAAATTAAAAAAAATCATCTATTCAGCCGTGAGACTTTTATTATACAAAAGTAACAAGAATTCTTTCCTTTAAAATGATCTCACACCTAAGCGCTTCTTTGTGGGTTTGTTTTTTTTTAATTTATGAAGTAATTCATGAATTATTAAAGTTATAAGATTATTTGATTTAATAACACCAAACATGGTATAAGTTTCAATAACTCATTTAGACTTTCCTTTTACTAAAAGAAATAATAATACGTCATGACACAGTCTTTAACATAAGCAGACAAACAGTATGCTGGGCAGGGAGAGTCATCCATTTCCAGTGCAGGTTTTGAAGATTATATGATGGTTAATTCTGTTTAAAGTAAGTCCGCTGAACTGAAGGTTGAAGAATGAAAGAAAGTAAAGCACCAACTCAATCAGGAAATATCCAAATGCTTATGAAATGAAGGCACATCATTTCTAACTTCTTTTCACTATTCAAACTTCTGCTTATTGTAACCATTGCATTGATATACGCCCTGCGTAGCTCAAAATCCAAATACAAGAGAGCTTGAATGCTGACACAAAAACATTGGGAATGTTTCACACACTAGAATCAATAGCCAGTAATTGACTCCTTACAGCATAAATCCAGGATGTTCCCTGTATATGCTAGACTTTCACTTCCCTTGTTTTCCATGCATGGTTAACCCAGAGCAGATACGTCACTATACACAAAAAGATGGGTACGGCTCTCGTATATTTTGGAAAACTCCATAAGAGCACACTGTATTCAGACAAAAATACCCAATGGACCTACAATGTACAAAATGGCATGCAATATACTGATTTAATATAAATTCTACTTCCAAAAAGAACCCTGAGATACACAGTTTTGTAGGAGGCATAGAAACCAGGGGTTCTTTCTTTCTGCCTTTTTTTATGGAGAAACCAATGACCTTTAAGGATGAAAATAGGCAGGCTTTGATCTTGGAATGGTGGCAATCATCTGGGTCATGGCAAAAGATTCTGCTGCTCTGCGGAGCTGGGCCTGAATTAGTTAAACAGATGGAAATGTCAAGGAATTGCCAAAATGTGCTTCAGAAAACAAGAATATAATTTGGCACCTGCCAAAGGCTGTTTTCCTCTCCAAATGAGCACT